TTAAAGTCTCTCCAATTTATATAATTTATATGTGTTTGTATATATATATATATATATATATATATATATATACATTCGCCTTTGATAATTCTTCCCGTCTCTGATTGATTTTGACCCTCTTGATCTTTTCCTCCAATCAATCTGCCAAACCCCAGCGACCCTAATCTGTTCCTTTTCGTGTCTGGTAAGTTTAATCCCGCAACGTTTTTTGTGGTATTTGTGTCTGATCTTGTAGTACGATTTTTGGGTAGGAGGGAATTTTCAATTTCGTGATGTCTTGTGTTTTAAATTTGCAGAGATCAAACGCAGTGAGAGTTCCGCCATGGCCAAAAGCTCGTTCAAGCTTGAACATACTCTGGGTATGTCTTTAATTTTTAATTTTGTTGGGTTAGTTGTATTGTATCTGCAATACCCATCTGCCCTTTTGGATTGAAGGATGATTTGCAGATAAAAATTTAGGTCTTTGTTAGCTTGATAAAACAAAATCTTGGGTTTTTATCGATTGCTTCTGCTTGGTATTGTTTAAATTTTAGTATGAGTTCTTCGATTGAACTTGTTCTGATAACAAACATGTTTTTTCAATGGATTTAAGTTGTGGGATTATAAATCATCGGCCTTTCTTTGACATGAGTCTTTCTGTCAAACTTGTTTTTGATAGAATTAAGTCGTAGGATTCTATACTATCGAACTTTTACTGGCTAAAGGTTGAGTTTTTTTCCATGTAATTGTGATCATTATCAATTTCTTCAGCTTGTATTGTTAGATTTTAGTTTCAGTTTTTCTCTTGGATTTGTTTGTTTGATGGAATATTAAATCGTAGACCTTTTGTGGGTAAAGGTTGACTTTTGTTTCATGGAATGTCTATCGTTGTTGTGATGGCCGATGGGAGAATAATCTTGGTGAAAAGACTGTCTTAATTCTTTATGGAATTAACATCTGTTTTGCTGATGGTCTTGGACTTGCTAATTTCAGAAAGGAGGCAAGCAGAAGCTAGTCGTATCAGGGAGAAGTATCCTGACAGAATTCCAGTAAGAGTTTTACTGAATCAAATACTTTGACTTCCCATGTTTTCAGGGTTATGCTCTGTTCTAATTTGAGCTTTCATGCAGGTGATTGTGGAGAAGGCTGCAAGGAGTGACATTCCTGACATTGACAAGAAGAAGTTAGTAGCTAATTCCCTTCTGCTTTAGTTCTTGTACTATGTAATAGGATTGTGCTATATTTATTTATGCTTCCGACATAATTCTCTTTACTATATAGTAAATAGTTTGTTGTGTAAGTTGTGCATTTTGATGTACACATGCGATTTATTTGCACTGAGGGGGTTCTAGTCATGTCTATATCATTGAGAATTTGAACTCTGGATGGAAGAACGATTTCATATCTTAACTGATGTTTTAGGAGTGGTTAGGAATGGTCTTGATCATCATTGTTTGCATGAACTGGTTACCCTAGTAACCAAGTGTTCCCACGAAATATATTTCGTACTCTCATTGTATAAGATTTGTATATGTGATAGAAAATGTACCTATTACAATGGCAAACTCGGAGTTCATTTGTGTTCATAGCTTCTTTAAAATCAAGGTGTTCTCACATGGTTTTGCTGTTACGTTTCTCTCCACAGATACCTTGTCCCTGCTGATCTTAATGTTGGGCAATTTGTCTATGTTGTACGGAAGAGGATCAAGCTCGGTGCAGAAAAGGCTATATTTATCTTTGTCAATAACGCTCTCCCTCCTAATGGTCAGTTGCAAATTCATCTTTTAGGCATTCTATATATATATATATATATATTCCTCCGAAGTTGTGGTCGTAAGATTTTTTCCTATGTTACAGCTGCCCTGATGTCTACAATTTACGAGGAGAACAAGGACGAGGATGGATTTCTTTACTTGACCTACAGCGGAGAGAATGTCTTCGGTTCCTTTTAAGAGCGAGAATGCTTGTAAATAAAACCTACCAAATGTAAATTCTTGGCGTTAAATGGTTGAACTAGTTTTCATATCATTTTATGGAATTTCAAAGGATGTTAATGATGGTTGAACTATTTTGATTATTTCCAGTTAACGTTTCATCTCACGGTCGTTTATTAGAATCGAGCTTAGTTTTCATGAGTTGTGCACCACGGCAGTCGATTTTTTTGTTCTAGTTGGAAATGGATGTGCAGATTCCAGTTCTATACGCAAATGAATCAAAGGTTTGCGGAAAATTTTCCCCACGCCTCTGTTTATATCATCCCTTGCTATTCCTTTGATCCATAGTTTATGATTGGTGTTTGATTAGGATCTTTTTTCGTTCGTTTGGGAGTGACTTTTGAAGGTAAAAATGTCTTTAACGTTAAAAGCGAATAGTATCAAGAGTTTTTCATTAAGATTCTCAATAAACTATACTTCAAGTATTTCAACATTCTTACACACCAAATAGGCAAAAATAATCACAAATCAACACTTTAGACAACAAACAATTGGATTTTCTGGACATCGAACATTTCTAGTTTACTGGTTTGGTTGGTTTTTTCTTCTGGCACTGATTTTTGATCCATTTGATGCCATTGGACGTGCCGCTCTTGATCTTTTCGGCACCGGCCATTGCAGCCACCTTGGCTTTGCCTATGCCAGACTTGGTCTCTGCCTTCTTGTTGCTGCTGTCGTTTTCTTCCGTCCTGGTGTTGTCTGCATCTTCCAGTGCGCCGATGCCTCCGGCACCCCATTGATCTGCCCACCCCGGTGCTTCGGCAGCCATCTCTTCCCTCAGAATCTCCGACCACCACCCTGTTTTCCATAAAACATGGCAAAATAATTTGAGATGTATCAATTTAACGTCAACCATCCAAAATCCAACATAAAGTTTCCCTTAATCAACTCTAACAATCTTAACAATCTTAGTTGTTCCTCAAGGTGGCTCTTCAGAATCGCCGTCTTTACGTTCATAGCCATTTTTAACAATCTTAACGCGTAACTAATGCAAGCAATATGCGAATGGACTTTATCATGACTACACGCATTCAAAAGATGGATCTGAACTCGGCATGGAATATGATAACTCATGAGAAGGCTTTGTATCAAAATCAAGAACAAGAGAGAGAGTACCTGGAGAGAGATTAGCTAGCGCGTAGATTTAGAAAGATGGTGGAGTTAACCAAAACAACCTAGTTGTATATATTCAGAGACCACATGTGGATGATGGATGGGCTGTCTCTCTCTCTCTCTCTCACCTTCACCTCATTTTTATAAATTTAATGGCTAGTGCTATTCACACATCGTTTTTTTTATCACTTATACACCTTTGTTAGTTTTTATTCACTGATCTTCTTCAATTCATTTGATCCGACAAATGTCTCCTAGGCGAAAGGGCTCACCATTATCTTTCTTCAATTGTTTGGATCAAAACAAGTGGATTGGCTTGTTTCGTCCTTTTATCTACGCAATTCTTTGTCTTTGTTCGTGATCATGCTGGGCGAAAGATAGTTGTAGAATTGGAAGTTGAGAGGTGTGTGTGAAAAATAAAAATAGGTGTGAAGATAGCACCACCGAAATTTAACTTTGGTATTTACTTTTTTCTTTAAGATTAAAAAGAAAATAGAAAGAAAAAGTAGTTTGCCAACTCATGTCATGAGTGGTTCCGATCCACTGAAGCAAAAGCATCGTTTGGCATTTTGCCCTTCATTGTGCAATCCCTAATCATCATCGTTGATTTCTGGTCGTGCAGAGGCACTGAGCATCTTTTCCTTAACAACCAAGGCATCTCTCTCAACTCTAAGTTCAACAAGCAAGGTAAAACACTAAACTAACATTTGATACTGTATAACCAATGGCGGAGTTTAGGAATTATTCAGTGGTTGCGCTAAGCTAGAATTATTACTCCGAATTATTCGTTGGGAGCTTCTTTTACCATATATACATTCAACACTTTGCTCTAGTTTTAGCTTCAATGCATGTAACTGTGGAGAAGACTGGCATGGACAAGGGAATGAGAAAGTTTCTCAAGTTGTCAATTCCCTTGTACTTTGATTGTCTTTTGGGTACAATAATGTTTAGGAAGAGATCGGTTACTCTCACCACCAGAATCAGGGTATACCCACAATTTCGAACCGGAAGGACTTATGCGTGACACCTAACTACCAGCTGCCACCGGTATGAATTTAATAGGAATTTACAAGTTACGCACTAACAATGATTGTTGACAACGGGACTCAAACTTTAGTGAGACGACACAAGGTAAGGACCTTACCAACTGAGCCAACCCTCGTTGGCACAATTGGAATGGGATAAGATAGTTAATTTTTCGACTATACATTTGGTATATGCCTTGGCGAAAGTTGAAGCTCTGCAAACCTACTATTTTAGATGCTAGGGAAATGAGGGAGAAGCATCTCATATACCGGTAAGATTTTCATTGCATCAAATATGCTCCTTCCGATGGATATGATGATCGTACCTAATTTCAACCTCCACGATGAGGGCGAGTGTCGAGAGGGATGCAAGGAGTGACATTCCTGACATGGACACGAATTTTTTATTGAAAATCAAAGTGCTTCTTTAAAAGCACTTGGTCGTGATTCCTTTATAAGCATTTAGTGGGTGCTTTTTTATAGAGCAATTTATGGCTCATAAGTACTTACAACTGTTTTTGCCACACATATTCATTATAAGAAACATTTTTTACCCTGTGATAACACTTTTCAACTAGTTAGTACTACGGTCCAGTAGTATTCATTTTTACTTCTAGATGAGTGGTTTTAGATTCGATTTTCGCCAAAATAATTTCGTTTGTTAAAAATAAACACTTTTCATGTCATTACACTCCATCTACCACTCCAAACACACACTTGTCGAAGAAAAACCAGTCAAGAGAGTACTTGGTCGTGGGATCAAAGTAGACATTCTCGATTTCCATGGACGATTGAATCCCGAGGACTTTCTTGATTGGTTAAGTAGCGCGGAGAAGTTCTTTGATTAGAAAGAAGTGTGCAATCGAGAAAACAAATGATTAGAAGTGAATGAGAAACACAAAAATTGGGGATGAACTTTTACTAAATCAGTACAACATTTGAGAGTCAAAACCCACTTGCCGGAAAATCGTTGCTACAAATAACTGAAGAACTGATATGGTAATATATGTACAATCAATCTATCAATTTCCTTACTTTTACGGTGTCAAAGATTCCACAAGTTAATTACTTGGACGATCTCCTCGTGGACTTGGATTTCTTCATTTTGCTAGACTTGTCCTCGATGCTCGTCCACGTATAACCACTAGGAATGGCGAAAGGGTCAGAAGAGTCTTGAGCCGCCGCCACTGCCGGAGGAGCACAGTGTTGGTGTTGGTGGTGGTTTTGCTTGCTCGCGGAAGACCCCGACTGGCTGCTGTTCCGCCTCAGCCACGACGATGACGAAAAGGATGGTGGATTTTGCGCCTTGTATTTGTGTTCCTCCTCTTGCTGGCCTCGTCCTTCATGAATAAACTGTCTGGGGCTTGACATTGGAGTGAAGAATTGCTCAGTTGGCGGGAGCTCAACGAACTTCGTGAATGTTATCACCACTCTCACTGTGGGGACCACCGGTATTGCCACCTGTCCGTCACCAAACAACTCCATAAGCTAAACAAGGCTACAATCTCAAAATGACCTCAAGATGACAGTTTAACCGTTAATGACGTGGCAAAATCTAAGGTCAAAGAAGCTTTCCAATTTTTTTTTAAGATACTAACTCGAGTGTAACAATTCGGACACACTATTCTAACAACTGAGCTAACTTACGTATGTAGTGTTAAAAGAAACTCACTTGTTTGGCCATTGCATAAATAACGTGGTGGGTGGTCAGCAAATAAGGAATCATAAAAGGATAAAAATTGGGTCCACAAACCATGCCTAATTGTAAAGACAAGGATACTCAAACACTGAGTCTGAAAGGCCCGACCACGTGTTATGTGCTATTGCTCTCGCACAAAGACACTCTTGCATTGTGTATCAAACCAACTTAGAGCCAAGATTGCACTCCAAAGTAGAGATTCACAATGTCTCATGAACGACGTGGTCAGGTTGTTTCCGCTCAAGATTTTCGACCAGGAAGTAAGTAACGCCACAAATAAAGCGTTACACGTCGAATCACCGACCACGGAGGCCCCACAAAAAGCTTCTAATCTAAGGTATGATTCTGGAAAACGACGACCCTCACTAATGGGATCCACTAAAACGCACAGTTTCTCACTTGTCACTTGTCACTTGTCACCACTTTAAAGTCAGCTCTCTTTGTCTCCCGTTTAAAACAGCTTACGCCACAAGCATAAAAAGCACCAAAAAGCAAATAAAACAGACCAAACAATAGACTCCACGACCACCCATGCCCCTCCGGGCCCACCCAATCTCGAGTGGGACCCCAATACGATATTCTGTGAAATGCCCCTTACCTTAACCGGAAAAGTCCCTGGCGGGAACTTGGTGGTGAGCAACTCCCTCATCCTCCTAACGGCCTTCACCTTGTTCGCCAAGATGTCCAGTAACGGCAGCAGCTCCTCCGTCTTTAACGGGAACTGCTCCGTCAGCCAAACGCACGGCCTCAAGCTCCTCACGAACTCTTTCTCTTTCGTCTGCACCGGCGCCGCAGCAATCGCAGCTGTTTTAGACCTCCTCGACGGAGGCCCGGAAATTGACGAAACGTCGACGCTTTTTCTCCCCAATGCCACCCTTGATGGTGGCCCGGAAATTGACGAAACGTCCACGCTTTTTCTCCCCAATGCCACCCTTGACGGTGGTCCGGAAATTGACGAAACGTCGACACTTTTTCTCCCCAATGCCACGAACTCCCTATCCTCCCTCACGAAGCTACTGTGCCTCCTGCCGTCGGGAATTCCGAAGCTCGGATTCTCCGCCACCAAAAAACCGTCGTCGTCCTCGTCGAGCTCGAGGGGAAGCACCTGCTCGCTCCCCGCCACATCAGCGTCGCCATTGGCGACTTTTCTCGAGCGGAAGATGAACACGACATTGTGAATTTCGTACACTCGAGCTTTCCACTCTCCGACGCTCTCCGTCTTATCCTGCCTCCTCCAATTGGTCCGCCCGACGAGCTCCGCCTTGGTGACGTCCATGCCGGGGCGGTACACACTCGTCTGGGAGCAGAATCCGGCGATGTCCGACTCACTCATCGGCGACCCGGCGTTCTCGAACGCGTCGAAGATTTTCCGATCGTCGCGGTTCAAAACGAGCAGCGATCCCGGGGGAACGTCGTGGCTTTGATCGCCGTCGCCGAGGAAGAGGAAGCTCTGATCGGCGCGCTGGATCTTCAATCCGTCAAATCCGGCCAGCGACGTGTCAGCGCGCAAGTTGCCGTCGCGCTTCCAGATCTTGTACGTGTCGGAGGGAGCGATCTTCCCGACGAAGGGAATGACGGAGCTTTCGAAGTGGAAAGAGATCTCCATGTAAAAATCTCGCATTCTTCGGAGCACGGCGATGACACGTGGAAGACGGCGCCGCCACTTCGCCCAAGCGGAGCGGTGGTGGTGCCGGAGAAGGATTAAAGCAACGTCGGAGCTCCGGCGACATAAGGCTTCCTGCAGGGGATTCCAGCCGGCGGAGTTCTGGAGGGACACGTCAGCGCCTGCGGAGGCTAGAATTTTGGCGGACGCTGCGTCGTTTAGCCGGACGGCGAGGTGGAGAGGGGTTTCTCGGAAGGGAACGTCGCGGCGGTCGAGTACGGATGAGATCCGGTCCGCGGTCCGTTCCTGAGAGAGGGAGTCGGACTCGGTGTGGATCTGAGTAGGATCGGCGAGTCGCGGAAGGGTGGCGACGATTCGGGAGAGCGTGGTGTGGTCAGCCAGAACGACGGCGTAGTGAACCGGGCTGTGGGAGTAGTCGTCGGGCTTGAGCGGCGGAAATGACGGCGTCGATGTCGCCGACGATTTGGCCATGGTTTTACTGCGTAGGTGGAGTGGGGTGTTTTCAGTGTGGGCGTTTTAACTGAGAGAAGGAGGAAAGAATGTTATGGGAGAACGAGAACGAGTGGTGCGGGGGTAATTTCGTCATTTAGTTTTATTGAAAACCGTAAATATTAATTAATCGGCGCGACTTTTGGTGGAGTTCTGGGGTTGGTGTCAGGCAAGGCGTCGGGGATGTTTCTTTCCATCCAAGTACTTTTTTCTGCTTCCGTTTCTTTTGTTTGTTTTTTCCTCGTCGTCCTTTGAATTTCTGTCTTTTCCCTTTTTGTGTTTGATTTTTATTTTTTCTAGTTCGAATTTTAGAAATCTAAAAAATAATAATAATACAAACTTTTTAAACAAAAAAAAAATTGCAAAATATGAGATTGAAGATTTTAATTTCAGTCATTTCATTGTGAAAACGCACTGACAAATTAGACTTAGGATGCTTTGAATTCATATGGTTGATACGAGAAATATATGTGGTCGACATTTGAATTAGTTGGATAAGAGACATTCATCAAGAGTGAGTTCTGCTTTATTTGATTCGGTGTTTTGTGTTAGGATTCTCTTCGGATCCCTAAGCTTGTCTGCAAGCCTTGCCTCCATCAGAGCCGCGAAGCCATCACAGCTTCTTATCCTTCCTTGAACAAGACCGTAACCTCGTGATTGTAACCTTGCCTCAAACAAGACCGCGAAGCGATCGATTATGACTACAATCTCGACGACGCAGTCGTTCCTGCACATATGCGCCCCTTTCAACCCTCATGTCATGTGTCATGTGTGTTCCATTAGCATTTAAATTAAATTATTTAGTTCTATGTTCTAGTTGAATACACGCGACATAATGAAAAGTGAAAAAAAAAAAAAAAAAAAAAAAGAAGAAGTAAGTACGAAGGATGTTAGCATTTCGCGCTCTTGATAAAATAACAGAGGAAGTAGAGAATGATTTGTGGGACCTGGAAATGGTGTTGGGGCCTATCATTTTGGTGTTGGGGGAGAGCGATTAGTCAGCGTCTAAGGATGTGTATGTATGTGACATGACACGGGGAAAAACAGGGAGCGTGTTTGCCCTAAACGCGACCAAATCCGATTCCAAACGGATTTCATTTCACACTAACCCATGCAATATGCATACAATATACACTTGTATAAAGTGAAAGTACCCTCTCGGATTTTCCCATGACCGACCATTTCAAACTATCGCACTTTATTTTAGACGACCAATTTGTTGCACACTACATTTCACCCTGTTTGTGTCGAACGCGCACTAACATTCATTAGAGCGACTGTACTTTGCAACATTTCGATTATAGATTGAACATTCTTTGCCTCCAAATTAGACCCAGACGTTTTTGAACTTTTGTATTTTAAAGGACCAGCTGGTGACGAAATTAAGATAGTTCACTTTTTCGATTGCTGAGAAGACTTGAATACTTGTTCAACTGCAATTTATCTATAAAGATAAATGATTTCTTACACGTTCGAAACTAACTATTCTTTTTGCTCCTTCATGGGCTTTTGTGGGCCTTGGTTTTTGGAAGTGAAGGAAACCATTTAAAAGGTTTTAGCGGGCCGCAATATGGTGCTGAAATGGGCCATACAGTGCGTTGTATTAGTGAATCACCAGGACCGGGCCCAATGGGTTTAAGACAGGACATCTAGAGCCCAAATTTGATAGTTCTCGATTGCTGTAAATGGTACAACATTGCTTGTACAATTATGATAGAAATTTAACTCTCTTAATTACGTTGTGAGCCTAACTCGTATATCGGATATAAAAGTTTAACTTTCGTATTTCATACGTTTTCTCTTTCAGATATTAAAATAAAATGCGTTTAGTAGCTTTGATTGTAGAATACCTACTCGCACATCAAATATAAAAGTTTTAACTCTTGTAGTGCATACGGTCCCTCTTCCCAATCACTAATCCTCATTTAGTAGCTTCAAACGGTAGACAATAATTCTCATTTAAAACAAAAACAACGTCCAATTTCAGTTTGAAGATTTTAGGAGCAACGTCCAATTCTTGACGCAAGGGCATAGTCCCTAGCCATCGCCCCATTGTTGGGTATTGACCAGTTATATAGAAGATAGTGACTTCAATTGTTATTTTGTAAAGTGGTCAAATGAGATACTTAATTTTAATCATAGGATAACTTATGACTCGTTTACTTAACAAAAGTGAGGGAAGTAAAGAGTCGGGAAGCTTATGAATACACTAATTAAAGAGAATCAGATCAACGGGTTCTCTTAGTTGATTTGATTCATAATTTTTCCAGTACTAAATTTTGAATTGTAAGGTAAGGCTTACGTTTTTTTTTTTCGATTTATCATATGTTAATAAACCAAAAATAAAGTTAGGTATCAATTTCACGCTTCAATTCGTGTTAAGTAAATACGTCAAAACATGAAATGTTGCTGAAAAGTAAAGTGGAATCTCCCTTTCCTCACCAAAAATGTTAGGTTCTACTTGCACATCCAAAACATCTATATGTTTGGATACAACTCACAACAAGAATAGTGATAGGTTTAGCCCCTTTTTTTTTTTCCACAACCCTCTCTCTCCTCTCTCTCTCTCTCTCTCTCTCTCTCTCTCTCTCATCAAAAGCCAGATCAGTTTCATAAAATATTTGTATTAAGTACTGATAATTATACACTGAAAATATTCTCAGCTTCCATTTTTTTTCTTTGTTTCTATATTTTACCCGAGGCTGCGAGAGGCAGCGTGTATCTAACAACATTCTTGCTCACCTACCCTCCCTCATAACTCCATTCCTCTCTAATTTCTTCGCCTTGTCGCTCTCTCTCTCTCTCTCTCTAAAACCCTCAAAGTTCCAACCTTTTCAATCCCCAAAAGATTTCTCGTTTTCTTACATTTTTCTCACTCAAACACAATTTTGTGGGGTCCATCGCCAGCCACCATTTTCATCGACCCTGACAATGTGCTTACTGGGTTTCATCCAACAAACCCCCCACCAACTTCCTCCTCTCTCATGAGCCCGGGTTCTTCTCAAAGATTCTGTCTTTTCGCAATTTGCATATCTGGGTTCGGTGGAAATTTCAGCTGATTGATTGATTGATGGCTGCCAAGGCTGCATCCATCTGGGTTTATGCTAAAACCCCTTATTCTCATCAGGGTGTCTCGGATTTGGGCACGAACCGCTCCGGGTTGGCTTTGAATTCGAATTCCCGCAAATGGGAATGTTCTTGTTTGGCCGTTGCTTCCGCCCATAGAGCTATCACTCCGGTGGAAGATGAAAAACCGAGCCTTGGCGGCGCCGCCGAGTCTTCCGGTGCAATGGAACGGATTGAGGACAATAAGACCAGGGGGTTCCACAAGGATTTGAACCTTCTTCCTAGTGAGTTTACTCCACAAGCTGATAATTTTATGTTTTGCTCAATTTCTCTGTGTTTAATTTTCAATTGGGTTCTTGTATGTTGGGATTGAGCAAATAGAACTTTGGTAGGTGAAGAACAAAGTTAGATTTTGACTACTTGTTGGGCAATGCAGAATAGTTTAGCTCCTCTGCAATGCAGAACAAAGTTAAGTTTAGTAGCTTTATTTTATGTGATGGCTATTGCCTATTGGTACTTGGGTTTTCATCATTAAGAAGATTTTGTTTGACAGCTGTAGCATCGGTACATTTAACTGATTTGGCCTAGATATTTAGATGAGGGTAGGATCAAATGAATGAGATTAGGCAAACAATTACATCAAAATTTATGACATATCAGTGAGGACTAGGAGGATTTCCATTATGACTTGACAATGAGAACTAGTAAGTACCTTACTCTTTCAGATGCCCGGTGTTGGTGGAAATAACGCAATTCGTATTTATGGAAATAACGTTATTGATGGAAACTTTGAAATTTTTCAGAAATGTCAAATTTGGGTACTGTCTATCATAGTTGACCAAATTCTTGGTGTATCTTGTGTTGGGAAACCAATAGATTTAGCAATAAAATTAGGTTTATATCCAGCAAAAAAAGACTTTTTGAAGATATCTTGACAATTCACACTAATGCTAAAGTCCATCGATATCTAAACAGCACGCTGGTGTAATATAGGTCATATCTTTCCGCCTCCTTATTGATATTGGTAGGTTCAAAAAGCGGCAATATCTTGGATACTAAATTCCACCTTGGATTACAAATATGAACCCATGGTCAGGTGGGTTCCAAAATGAGATCAAAGACCTGACAATCTCACTTAAACATATAATCTCTGAAAACATTTTGGGCCAATCCAAAAGGTTGATTTCAAAAGGCAATGTAACAATCAGATTTTGTAAATGTGTCCACATCCAAATACTTAAAAGAACAGCTTGGTTGTAGTGGTGATTTTTGTATTTCTTGTTGTCTAATGTGCTAGTATACTTCTTCCTTCTAACGAACCTTTGTTTTCAATTTTATCTTACAATTGTTTCTTTCACACTCACTTCTCATAGCTTGAATATGAATTAATTGCAGAACCATTGACAGCAAATGACCTTTCTTCTCCTAGTAATGGTTCACAAGTGAGAGTTGCTTATCAGGTAGATCTTCTCATTGATTACTTGCATTCTTTTTGGTGTTCATACATTTTTTTTTGTTTTTTTTTGCTCTTATGTATGTTGTATTTTCTGTTTTAGGGGTTACCAGGGGCATATAGTGAGGCTGCTGCATTAAAAGCTTATCCGAAGTGTGAGACCGTCCCATGTGACCAGTTTGAAGCTGCATTCAAGGTTGAATAATTGTTTTTAAAAGTTATCATTTTTTTAATTATATTTACCTGTTTGTGTACCTTGATTAGGTTATTTTTTTTCATTTAACAGGCAGTTGAACTTTGGTTAGTGGATAAAGCAGTTCTTCCCATTGAGAATTCTGTTGGCGGAAGCATCCACCGTAATTATGACTTGCTACTTCGCCATAGACTGCACATAGTTGGAGAGGTACAATTGCAAGTGAACCATTGTCTCTTGGGGTTGCCTGGTGTAAGAAAAGAGGAAGTAAAACGTGTTTTAAGCCATCCTCAGGTTGGTCTTTCACTTATTTTCTTTTTCAATTCTTTTCTATTTGCATAAGCGGACAGCTGATGAATATATTGTCTGATCTGTCTAGTTCATATGGCATGAACGCTCATATCATTGTGTCCTCAAATTGCCTATTTGCAACAATGGGAATGTTCCCCAATTAGGTAATCTTAGATTCTTAATTGCTTTGGACCACAGCC